AATGATTGGTATGTCAATTCCTTGCCCATATGGAAATAATTGAAAAAGAAAAGAGAGAGAGACCATTAAGAGGTTTCAATGTGTTCCCCCAAAAATTTGTGTGCTATAATTTGATTATGATGGTACTAAGAGGGTACAAACTTAATTTGACTATGTAACTAAGAGGTGGTTTATTGATGGGTGATTGGATTAGATGAACTCATCAGGGTAGGGCCCCCATGCTGAAATCTGGAGGACTTATAAAGGAGAGGTAGTGAGGTCAGAGCCCAGACCACATTTAGTCCCTGGACCTTGGACCTCCAAAATCATGATCTGAATAAACATTTATTCTTTATTAGTTACCCACTCTGTGGTTAATTAGTCAACAAGACATGAAATACCTATCCTCTGGGCTCAGGATATGCTCATAGCTCATAGGTTAATTTCAGGAATATTATGGCAGTGAGGATTATGACCTCTTCAGCCCTGGACTAGGGGGACTGTAAAATGAAGTCAAGAGACCGCCATGCACTCAGCAGCCTCTGCTGTTCCCATGGTGAGGAGTATGCGCAGCTGCACAGCCTGGCAATCACCATCTCAGCAGAGACCAAGGACAACCCACTGGCACGCCGGCCGCTGCGTGCAGGACAACCTTTGGTGCACACAGGCAAGGTATAGGAAAGCACAGCAGCAGAGCTGTGGGCTTAGATGACTGTGTGCCTCGAAGGGGAAAGCCATTATTGAAGACAGACTCATGTCGCACATGGAAACATTTTTCACATGAGATGTGAAATCCAAAGGAGCAAATCATCAAGGATAAGTACAGCATAATAAAAGAATGGAAATGAGGTCATAGCATCTGAGAGTGACTCTGGATGATGCTTAGAGAAAATTAGTCAAGCAACAGAATAGTGGGTCTTACGAGATATCTGTCCAGTGGGCACGTGAAAAGGTAAAGGTGTGCTCTCAGTTTCTGATTTAAGTCTCTGAACATGGTAGTTCATCAGCACTAAAGATAGAAGAAAGGAGGGGAGATACCAATGCCTCTGGGTAGTGTCAGAGTCCCTTAAAGAGGCTCTGATGATGGACAAAAAATGGCTCTCTGTGATTTTTCAGGTATGCCGTCTGCCCTGCCTGCACTTGAGAGTGTTTGTGCTGCTTCTTATACATCTTACCAGGGTTAGGAAGAAACTTGAGCAAAGTTTTTAATACCCTCTCTCTCTCTCTCTTTCTTTCTTTTTCTTTTTCTTTTTTTTTTGTTTTTGTTTTTGTTTTTTGGTAATAGCATATGCATTTTGCCAGAGAGAGAGAGAGAGAGCAACAGATAGGATAGTGAGAGGGAAAGTGAAAAATCACCCTCCCGGAGAAGGTATGGAGACACCACAATCTCTTCTCCTCCTGGGATTTTGGACACACATGAACATGCCCCTGGTGTGGTTTTCAAGCTACCAGGTTTGAGACTTAAACCACGATCAACTATGTGGGACTCCAGCATCTTAAACATTGTGCTACCTGCTGGCCCCAATCCTCTTTCATAAATCCACTTAAAAGAACTTGGGTAACATGAAGTACCTTAATGACCAGAGGCTAGCATACTATAACAATGTGTACTGAAAGAGCCTGATCATTCCACTTTCTGCCCCTTCTTCATCTCTGAGTACTAAAGTTGATGAATAGACAGGACCCATCTGAAGATCAAAATAAAATGTTAACTTTCTTAATGAGTAGATTTAAGATGCAAGACAGTATTTTCATTTTCTTCCTTTAAAGCCTTGCGGCCAGTAGCAACTTGACCTGAGCTCTCTGTCTGCTGGGGGGACAGCAGGACACTGACCCAGCCAGCTCATTGCCCAGCAATCCAGGGAAGGTGGCCTCAACTGTCCTGTGGGCCACCCTGCTGGTCTCACCCCAGAACACAGCAGAAATTGATTTAACAGCCAGGACACACTTTGCCCTCAGACAAATACTCATTCTCTATCTATCCCTCATCACAAATCATGTCTGACAGTATTCTGTGCGTAGCTCCGCAGAAGAAGCTGCAATTGAGCACTCATTGCAGAAAATGTGGGAATGAAACCAGGTGTATTTAATACAGGACTGACTGTTTTCTCAGTTAATGGAACACTTCAATTATAACAAGTTTGCTACAATAGATAGTTTTTAAAGTTTTTTGTGTACATACTAAAGAGATATGGAAATATTCAACCATTATTTACATTTCATCACTAAGTTTTTGACATGTTTAATATTAATCTGATGATTGCTTATCTGAAAGGAACATCAGCATTATGAAGGTTTCTCTTTTTTGGAGACGTTTTTGCTATAGGGTGTGTGTGCTCTGCAAAAAGACAGAGAGAGACAGAGAGATAGAAAGTGAGAAATCATCCCCCGGGGGGGATGGGCACGCTGCAATCCCTTCTCCTCCATTCTCCTCTTGGGATCTTGGGCATGCACGCCTATGCACCTGGTGTGAGTTTAAGCCACTGGGTCCAGGACTCGAACCGCTGTCAACTACATGGGAATCCAGTGCCATTGCCATTAAGCCAGCTGCTGGTCCCCATGAAGATTTCTTGAAATTGGATTACTGTGATGTCTATCTAATTTCCTAGTAACAACCTACCTGCTTGTGAGTCACAGTAAGTCTGTCACAGTGAGGCTATTACTTGCACAATGCCATCCAGTGGTAATAGGCATGTGCCCATTTAATACATTCTAATAGCTCACTCCATACCCAGAGTGTCAACTGACAGAGTCCATTTGAAAATGACTTTCAATCATAAGTGTTGACAGGAAAAAGAGAAGGTCATCATTCCACTATGAAGTATTATTTTTCTTCTAAAATACAACTAGTTAGCTTTAATTATCTGCCTTCTCTCTTCTTCCCCATCCTTTTCTTCTTTCTCTTCCTTTCTTCCTTCCCTTTTCCACTATTTATCATCTGCTTCTTTCCATGAAAGACTTAATTTGGCTTATTTAAGAATTCATAAACCAATGGTAGACAAAAATGTAAAAGGAAACTGAAAACAAAATCAGGAAAAGGAATAAGAATATATGTTCATTATTATATTTTAGATAATTTCTTCCTTTTCTTTTTATTTTATTTTTTCTTCTCTCTTCCTTTATTAAATTTGCCAGAGGGTACATGCACTCACCAGAGAGACAGAAAGAGAGAAGAAAGTACCCAGCATAGGGCATGGCCATATCACAATCACTTCTCTGTCATCTGCCCCTCCTTTCAGGATTCAGGCATACATTCAAATAAACCTGCTGTGTTTCTCAAGCCACTGGCCCAGGTTGGTCATGTGAGACCCACCATCTTAACCGCCATGCCACTGGCTGGTCCAATATTTAACACAGTATCCACAAGTAAAGTTGGTTTTGTCCTTATTATTATAAGACACAGTGTTTAGAGAAAGCAAAATAAGTTATATGGATCTTATTTTAAGATAAGAAAGATACTCTTTCTCATGGGGAGGGAAATTTATCACTGCTTCTCATGTGGGAAGTTGGGGTTATCAGGCCCAACCCTGGTGCTGATCTCTTGGCTATAAGCTAACCAGATTTTCATCTCATGCTCACGAAGAATTAGAGACACAGACACAGAGAAGGGAGAGAGGGGAAGAAAAAAAAAATTTAGAGTCCCCAAGTGGAAGAGGTCGCAGATTGAGTTGGCACCTAGTGGCCTATGTATAGCTGAGAGACCTATGTGTGCATTTTTTGTTTGTTTTGATTTTGGGGGTCCCATGAGGGTGTTAATTTAGGAAGAACTGTCATTAAGTTTACTTTGAAGGCTCACAGACTGTGCATTTGGGATTTTATTGTCCCCAGTGCCAGAAAGTCTTATCTCCTTTTGGTTTTTGTAAAAAAACAAAAGCAAACAAAATAATTCTACATTATTTATGTGTTCTGGACTGTGCCACTTGGCCTTCAGTTTTTATCTAATTAAGTCTCATATTAAAAAGTCCTAATTTCTTCAGGAGCAAGATCTACATACATGTCTGCCTCACATGGCACACAGTGACTCTCCTCTGTCCCACCCACCTACTCACTGGTTGTAATTTTTGTTTCAGTTCCAAAATTTAATGAAAATTCCAACATAGAATTTTTATGACAGATGAACCATTGCTTATTTTTCTGAAGAAAACATGTTTTGAGATATTTAAACTTCTCTTTCTTTTTTTAAAAACACCTTTTACAAAACTGAGGCTGATGTATTTGCTGATGGATGAAAAATAATCCAGGTTCTTAGCCTTCCAGGAATTTCTAATGCCATGGAATACTCCCGAGCCCAGTGAACCTAGACATTAAAAATCCTAAAACCACATAAGATGTGTACTGGAATGATTTTGTCTTAAATAGTACTTAAGATAGTTTGAGTTTTGGCAGAAATTTGGAGGCTACATTTTACCAAAAAATGTATATGAAATTCCGATAGTTCATATCAAGGGGACTTACTCAAAGTCTGTTCAATGGTCCTCCGTTCTCTGTAGATATACCTGTATGCACCTATATAAAAGCAGACACCTATTTGGAACACTGACGCTAAGTGGGAGCCTGATCCAGGTATACTTAATTTCAACATGGCAGGGAAGCTGCAGAGGAGGATTTGTCATAAGGAATGGGGAATGAAGACTGGCTGTGGTATTCCAAGCAGAGGGTGCTGTGGGATGGAAAGTTCAACATGGAATTCCTATGACAGATAAATCCATTTTTTCAAGAAGAATACATGTATCAACATTTCTTTTTATTATTTATTTTTAACCTCCCCACATAGGAGATCTTAGTTTGCTTCCTGGACAATACCAACAGGATGGGAATGGGGATGCTTGCCTATAATCCCAGCTAATTGGAAGGTTGGGCAGGAATGATCATAACATGGTAGGAGCCTGTTAAAAGTAAAATCTAAAAAGCAGACAAACAACAAACAGCAAAACCAGAACAAATCAACAACAAAAAACTCTCATTTAAAAAAATAAATGAAATCAAGAGTCAAATTTCACTCTGTAAAGCAGGATTTCTCATTAAGTTTGCAGAGGGAAGCTCCTTTTGGGAAATATGTTCCTCAGGGCTGACTTTACATCCTTATTCCTCAGGCTGTAGATGAGCGGATTCAACATGGGGGTTATAAGATTATTGAAGATCTGAATTGCAGCACCAAATAAGAGACTGGGATTGGGTTGAAGAAAGATGATGATTATTGGTCCATAAGCACAGAGAATTGCAGTGAGGTGGGTGCTACAGGTTGAGAAAGCTCGATGTCTGCCCTCTGCTGAATGAATTTTTGATATGGAGACCCCGATGCAAGTGTAAGAAACAATGATAAGTAAAAAGCAAGTGAGAGTAAAAAGACCAATGTTTGTAAAACCTACCCTCTGGGCTAGAGATGTGTCCTCGCAGGCTAGAGGTAACACTGCAGGTATATCGCAGAAGTAATAGGCCACCTCGTTAGACCCACAGTAGGGTAACTGGAAGGTGAGAAAAGTTAGAATAACAGCATGCATAAGGCCACCCACCCAGGTACCTGAGGCCAAGACAGAGCAGACCCTGGGATTCATGATGACCGTGTACCTCAGGGGGTGACAAATGGCTACATAGCGGTCCAAGCCCATCACCGTGTACAGGAAAGACTCAGTGCAGCCCAGGAAATGGTAGAAGAAGAGCTGGGAAGCACAACCCTGGAAAGAGATCCTTTGACTCTGCCCCGAAAGGTATGACAGCATCTTGGGAGCAGTTGTTGAAGAGAACCCCAGGTCCAAGATGGAGAGATTTCCCAAGAAAAAATACATGGGAGTGTGAAGCCGAGAGGAGGAGAGGATCGCCGTAAGGATGAGCACATTTCCCAAGAGGGTGCACGAATATATCGATGAGAAGAGGAATAAAAGGGTTGTCTCCAGGCCCTCTGACTCAGGGATTCCCAGCAGGATAAATTCAGTCACCATTGTGTGATTTCTCATTTTTATGAAAGCATCAATTCTTGGGTGTCTGGAAAAAGAAAAATGTGGTTAAATGTAATACATTACCTGGGTTTAACTCAATAAAATGGAGAAGCAGCCAAAGACATAGGTCCTGACAGACCAAGCTCCCTGACAGAGCCATATGCTCTGCCGGTGTCTCCCTCTGAGCATTTCTGCAGGGCAGCCTGACTGCTGACACCCCTCAGCACAGCCTCATCAAGCAGCCTCAGGACTGGCCACCGAGCTCCCATTCTTCACGTGCAGTATGAAGTTGCAATTACACCACATGGCAGCTGTGACTCTAAAGGACCAAATATAAAGGCTCAATATCCTCCTAACTGACAAGGGTTCATTCAAATACTTTTATTCTTCTGAGACAATTTGGATACATTAATTCTGCTGTCCCCTGTGGTCATGCCAGCCACACAAACAGACATCATCTTTCCCACACTGTCTCCCTGTTTTGAGGGATACCCATGAGAACCAGTCAAAAGAAAGCTATCTCTGGACGATCTGAAAACTGTATAACATGCCCTGACCTCTGGACCACCTGTGTTTGGTACACTAGAGTCACCAGCAGCTTCTTCTTAGTACCCATATTCTGTTATTGCCCAATTAGACCCACATTAACATCACCTAATTTTGCAGTGTAGATAGTTCACGAAAGGGAGATAAAGACTCTGTTTATATTTAAAAATCATCCTGGTTTCTCTTCCTACATATTTAAACCATTCAAGACGCTAATAACTTTAAATTATAAATGCCCCTGTGGGTTCTATTTCCCAAGACCTTATAACTATCAGCCCAGTCTTCTCTCTCAGTCCATTCACCTGGGGGTTGTTTGTTTTATCCTGGTGATGGTTGGGAGAGGGAGAGTGAAAATCAAATAAAAAGTGAAGGACAAAACTTGGGCACTTACATGGTAAACAGGGAGCATGACTGGCTGGTTATTTTTCATGGTGTTTCCTGTCCTTTCCAGCAGAAAGAAGAAGCCTCCCTGCCTAAACCCCCATCAGCCTGCAGTCTGTGAGTAGGTGGCCCGAAGCCTTCTCTTTTACAGTCAATTGCTGATAAAATACTATAACTTGATATACTCTTAGTTCCCTGCAGTGATTCCTGTGTAACTCCAGGGATTATAATAATTTCTGCACAGAGTAGATTTTAAATAACCTGCCTTGGTCTTCCTTTGGGTATTAATTTCCCAAGTTTGAAGGCATTTTAGGCAAGGGAGCAATTAATTATTTGGTGTAATTGGACCTTATAAATGAATGAAAAACACAGAGAATCTGATATTGAAATCTCCTTTGTAAAACAAACTTTAGTTGAGTAAAAATTTCATTTGCTTCATGTAACGCATGTATGTATGTATGTACTTTTAGATTTATTGTTCTCATGTGTATGTTGGGGTTTCTGTACTTTCTGTTTGTTTTTAAGTTTACGTGTTTATTTCTCCTATGAGAGTGAAAGACAGGAGGAGATAAAGGGAGAAAGAGAGAGAGAGAGATAGAGAGAGCTGACAGCTGCAGAGTTCTCAGGCAGCCATCCACTCCAGCCTCAGCTGGAGGTCATGGGCTGGGCACAGGCCCACCCGTACCAGGGCAGGTCCCGGGATTAGATTCCTATGCGGGTCCAGGTGCATACACACACAGGACCACACAGCCCTACGCATGTTATTGTATGAATAAAGTAGACATTATCTTACTACACATTATTAACAGGACTGACTTATTAGGGTACTCAGAGAATTAAAGAAACTGATGGAAAAGTAGTCCTGGAAAGGCAGATGCCAGGGACCCTCCAGGGACCTTGTGTAGGAAGCTGCAGCAAAGCCTCACCTGCCTTTGGTCCTGTGGCCCTCAGCTAAGAGTAAAACCTAATTTCCTTGTGTGACTAAATGACACCCCTGTGACCAGGGTGCAGGATACAGTGGAATGGATATGGACAGCGCTCCCAAAGGGTGGGGATTAGGGCCATTGACAGGAGACAGGGGGAAGGAATGTGCTGAGGGGAAAATAATGTCCGCTCTCACTGGAAGTGTTGTCTTACATTACTTGGTAACTATTAAAGCTAAAGTATTAAATGCCTTGATTACTGGATAAAAACTGAATAATGATGTGGAATACTGTTTCCTCTTAGGATGTGGTCATTTATTTATTTATTTATTTTATGAACATCAGTTTCACTTATTTTGACAAATCTATCCAAGCATTATTTGTGAGAGGAGACAGAACAGTAGTGGAGAAACTATGTTGCACGTGCCATCTCTTCTCATAAAGTATCTAATCTATCCAGAACAGAAAGAGCATTTTACAGTTTTATTTAAATGCCAATGAGCCAAACCATAGCATGATGGTTAAGGCGACTGGATCCCATATGGTTGAATCTGAGGTTCAAATCCTGGACCTGGAAGCTTGGAAAACACACTAGGCATGTGTGAGTGTATTCCCAAAATCCTGGCAGGAGAATGAAGGAGAAGGGGTTGTAGCATGGCCATCCTGCCTAGGGGGTGCTTTTTCTCAGTCTTTTTTTTTCTCTCTCTCTGCCTGTCCACTGAGTGTACATGCCCTATAGCAAATTTAAAAATATTAAAAAATAAAACTAAAACTCTGCTGAAGTCTTCTATAAATGATAAAAGCAAGGGGCAAAGACATTAAATAACTTACCCACAATCAAGCAGCTTACCCTGGAAGGAAGATTTGGTTTCTGAACATAAAGTTTATAATTGAAAAGTTTCATTGTCAAGGGAATGTTTATGTATTCCCACTATTCCAAATACATCTGGAAATTTTATGCAAAAAGTTAACGAGTTTACTAAGATTTATTTTAAATCCAACTATTTATAGAAGATATAAAATTAATAACTCTGCTATTCTATTTAAACTTGATTATCCTCATCTTGAAGTGTGATGAGTGATTAGAAAAAAATGTTTTGTACAGAAGAGTATGGTAAATACAGTTTCAATTAGGAACTAAAATCTCATTAAATTTACTTTGATCTTGGAAAAAATTTATTTAGAGAAATGTTCTCCTCCAGGCTCATCCAAGACTTTGGAAATGACAATTTCCCAGATTTTTAAAAGGTGAAGTGTATTGTGTGTCTATATCACATGTTCTTGAATCATTGACTCACTAGGGGCACAGGTTGTCTCTGTATCTTGACTACTGTGAATGTGCTGCAGTGGACATGGATGGGCAGAGAGCTCTTCAACACGGATTTCAAAGAAATATGCTTTAAATTTGTGTTTTATTGATATTTTACTCAGAAAAAATCATGTATTCAGGATTTTTAATTCTTCAAAAAATTGAGGCTGCATTTAGAAAATTATCATGCAAAAAAAATCTTTCCCTTTAGAAAATTTAATTTATGCAAGATTAACATTGATTCACAAAAGATTGCAATCCTACAGTGCTGTGCCTGCTAGTGAGAACAAAATGGTACAGAGTGCTACTTGATCAAGGCTTTGGCATGCGGCAGAGAAAGGGGAAGGAGAAAGGAGCGCTAGTGAGGAAGAAAGGTGCCCCCCTTTTCCTCCTCCTTTCAGCTTTCCTGCTGCCATGGGTGGGTAAATTAGTTAGCCCCTGAGCTAGAGGTTCTCCCTCTCCAATCCAACTGAGAAAGAAGTCTCCACTTGGACTGAGTTTAAGCCATGAATTTATTGTTTTTAATCAGAAAACCCTGTGATGGAGACTATTAAAATGTTACTGGTTGGACCAGAGATGGCAGGGAGACTTAGGTGACTGGATTCCACATGGCTGGCAATGCAGTTCAAGTTCTGAATCCGGCAGCTTGAAAATCAAACTGGGTGTGTGTGCACATGTGTGCCAAAAATCCCAAGAGGAGAATGGCAAAGAAGGGATTATGACATGGCCATCCTCTCTGGGGAGCTGAGGGGATGATGACTTCTCACTTTCCCTCTCTCTCTAGCAAGCTCATGTACCCACATCAAAACAAAACAAATCCAAACAAACAAACAAAAAAAAATGGCAACAGCAAAAAGCAACTTTAAAAAGTTGCTGGTTTTTCATCTTCCATTTGTTGGTGATTTCTGCTTTTATTTTTTTTAAGTTAGTAGGTAGGAGTTGAAAGTCCTAGGCTCCAAACCCATATCAAGTGTCATTCCAGGAAGGACTGGAGAAATTCCACTAATGAAAAGTAATACAGCTGCTGTCACACACTGGAGGTAGGGCATGATAAATGGATACTAAATGGCCTGGTTTCAGATTTTTCTCTAGGCAAGGGTAACTGAGTGTGTAGGAATATAGCAGGCAGATGAGCTCGATGATGGAGGGATGAAGTTCAGTGATTTGGAATTCAATGATATAATGCTTGAGAAATCTAAACAGGCCCTGTAGCCCAGTGGTTAAGGCACTAGATCCCAGATGATCAACTGTGATTGGAATCCCAGCTCCAACATCTTGATAAACATGTCAGGTATGTGCGGGTGCATACCCCAAACCTTGACAGGATGGAGGAATGAAGAAGAGATTGCAGTTTGCCTAATTGGAGAATGCTTTCTCCTTCTCCCTCTCTGTTTCTCCATCTCTTTCTGGCAAGAAAAGAAAAATCTGAAATATACAAGAGCTAAATAGGTCCCACCAATAGCCACAGACTGGATCCTGCATGGCCGATTCTGGCACCTGGATCCCACATGGCCAGTTCTGCAGTTTGAGACCTGGACCCAGAAGCTTGAAAGCCACATGCGTGTGTGCCCCAAATCTCAAGAGAATGGATTTTGACGTGGCCATCTCTCCTGGGGGGTGATTCCTCACTTTCTTTCTCTCCCCTGTTCTCTCTCTTGCAAGCACATGCACCCTGCAGGAAAAAAATCAACAACAAAAACAAAACAAAGCTAAGTAAAAATAAGAATAGGCTGACAGGAGGAGAAAAAGCCATGTGCAAAAATTAAAAATTTTAATGAAGTTGTTTATGACAGGATAAATTTATTTACAGCTACTATAATGTGCCCAAACTGCTCTGTTCTGATGAACAGATACTAGCC